TTGCAATTCATTTAGTCAATAATCTTTTGATGTATACTAGATCTTGCTAAAATCTTTTATCCAATACTGGAATCCTATATACTCCTAGTGCCCTCATTTTATTCATGGGATCTTTACAATTATGTTATAGCTTATATATTGATGAATTTCTCTTGTATATTATGGCATCTCTGTTTCTAGCAATTTCTTTATGTACAGGATGGAATATTCGGTCATATTGAACAATTATTGGTCTGGAGTTACCTGTATGTCAGAGAATTTGTTGAGGTGCATTTATTCTTTGCATTTGCATATGTAAGCACTAGCCTTTGAATCATTCTTTTAGAATACCCATTTATGTAGATATTTACAAATTTAAACAGATGTTATATAAATTTATGTAGGTTTTATATATATGTTTTCTTAATGAGATTCATACATATGGGGATTAGAACAAATTTGTAACAATGTTTAACACAGAACAATATTATACACTTTTTATATTACCAAAAATACTTCCGTCTACTTTAAGGCTTTGTCAGTTATTTCTGCTTGAATATCTTATAACTGATGAAGCCTTTAATAAAGTAGGCAAAGTATTTTTAATATAAAAATCTTAAAATGTTGCTATGTTGTATATTAAATTATAGATTTACTACAATCAAGCAAAAATGTATTAAAAAGTTGACTTACCAAACATCTTATTTTAAAACTTTCAGGAGTTTAATCTTTTATGTGGTTGTAGACAAATGTTTTTGACCTAATTATAGGTCTGCCTATGGTCTTAATTATTTTGCTTTATTTTGGAATTTGAAGAACAATATAAAATTTCAAACTTTGGAATGAATGATGTAAAGTTCAAAATCACGTTTGATGTTCTTAGTATAACTATTTGCATATTTAAATCAATATTATATAGATATTTACAAATTTAAACAGAAGTTATATAATAAATCAAAACCTTTTTTAACAGTGTTGTATTCGTTTACTAACGTTTTCGGCTTCCACCAAGGCCTTCTTCGGGTGCTGAACTAAATGGCATCCCTTCTGGACTGTTAGAACGATGTTGCCAGAGTAATAAACATTGCACATATCCCGTTTCACTGCTCCGCCTGTCTTCGTTCAAATTCCTTGAACAGGTATCTCCACGCATGTGCAATCGTCTCCCCATCTTTAAAGTTGATACAGGTGCCCCCAATGTTAGCTTTATAGATCTCCCAGGCCTCCAGGTGAAGAATGTGATCAATTTGAAACGCCTGTCTAATTAATTTGGTGTTCCGGAAGTCCTCCCGAATTTCGGGTCGGTAATGTATGCTGTCAAGGCTATGGTGTGTCTGTTGTTTTTAAGATCAGATTGGTGCTCCTGTAACCGTTTTTGTGTTGAACGCATGGTTGAACCAATGTAAACCAAATCTCTTTGGAACCTATTGTTCCTGATGGAGATGGAGTAAACCCCTGGGGCTCTGTTAAGATCTATTCTGTCTTTAGCATTGTGCAGCAGCTCGTAAATAGTGCCGGTTCTCTTGTATGCGATCTTGGTGCGATTATGATTAGCAGTCTCCCTGTATAGGGGGTCCAAATGCTGATTGAACCGGACGACTGTGTGCCTGCCACCTGCCACAAACAGGGGACTAGTAACGCCGTGTGTGGGAAGATGATTGGTGTAGGCACAGGCCAAACTGCATACTATGCCTCTACTGTAGCCATGCTCAACCGCAATCCTTTCTACGTGTTGTAGTTCAATCAGGGTGTCGCGCCTGTTTGTCTGATGTGTGAAGGCCTGCCTGGTCAGGGCACAGAAGGCCGTGATTTTGTAAGAAAAGGGGTCCGATGAGTTGGCTGGGATGAATAGTGGAATTTGGTCCGATTTGCAATAAATGCTCGTTTCTATTTTGCCACCAATGAGACGTATGTCAACATCTAGGAAATGGGCGAAGAGTTACTAAACTGATCTAAGCTGAGGGTGAGACCATACGCGTTGTTGTTCATGCACATCAAAAACTTGTTGAGATTCAGTTTGGTTTTCCAAAGTATAAAGATGTCGTTAACATATCTTTTATATAGACATTTATTACTCAAGACAGTGTTAGTAGTTAGAAGACGTTTAGTGATGTTATATAAATTTACGTAGATTTTTACATANTGGAATTCATATAAAACGGAATAATCAATGATCTTTTACGGGGGTCGACTGTAATTATGAAAAGTTATAATTTAGGACATAAAAGCCCCATGAAAATTTAAACATAAAACATTTGTAATGCAGATAAAATTGTATTAAATTATAATATAAAGTTAAAATTCCATATGTAATATAATAAAGTGGTAGATTTTAAAAGATAATTATTAATGTAATTTCTATGATCTAATTTATTTCTTTGAAATTTTTAGATTTAATATAAAAGTAATAAGAAATTATATATTATATAAGTTTATACACAAATATATTAATTTCTTACTATTTTTAATGGAAAATATTAATTTAATTTTATTAATTAAATGAATTTCTGAAACATAATCAGTGATATTCTCTTTTTCATACAGAGAAAATAAGTTAACTTCTGTAATCTGTTTCTCCGGTTTCTGCTTGTGCTATGTTTTCGCATGCTAGCATTGCAAAAGTTGATGTAAATTAAAACTGGAAAGATGATAATCTCAATACCACCAACATTGTTTAAAAGGTATCAAATGTGGTTGTGTAATGCTGCGGAATGTATGATTCCTGGATTAAATGCAATATCACAGATAGAATTGCAAGATTTCCAAAGATGAATCATAGTTTTGTGCATGGATAGTGCCATCAACAGAAATAACTCATTGCTAACTAAACATAATATTAAACCAAAGAACATATTAGATTGCTGTCTTCACTTCAGATAGATGTTAAAAATTGTTAGTTATATTAAATTATACTTATCATATTAAATATATCTGTAAGACACTGGACAAAAAATTTGTCACATATAATATGTATCTTTTAACATTTACTTATATTTTTCCCTATAACAGTCAAAATTTGTCACAGTATGAACTCTACAAGCTGAAGTAAATAATATGCAGTACATCAGTTTTAAGCCATTCTGTTTGCAATTTCTAACATAATTCCTTGACATTTCTGTGCTATTGATATATGGACTTCACCTCCTCTTAAGATAGTCTATAAATTCTTAATGGGATTTAAATCTGGTGAACTGTCTGGCCAACAGATCCATCCAATTGTTGTAAATTTATTGTTTACAATAAATCCAGTGCCAATTTTGTGCTTATCTGTGTCACCACAGAATAGCATAAAATTGTTTCATCTTTACATAATCATTGCCTGTCTGTCTTACCTCTTGTTCAGATTTCTAACATTCCAGGTTCCAAATCTCATGTCTTTAATCCATTTTCAGGGTGATGATCCATAGAAATGTTTCCAGTATGTTGTCAAGGTTTTGTAGTAATCAGCATTTCTGAGAATAGGTTGTTAGCCTATAGCTCAACCCACAACTTGATCAGTGCCAGAGATCACATTTACATTAACTTACTAGGAAATTACTTAGCATTTCCCAGAGGATACCACAGAGAAGTTCAGTTGGGCTTTGCCTCCCATAATTGGATCACTTAAATCACAATATAGAAATATTGATATTATTTGTTTTGGTTTTCATTCTCATATTAAAAATTAATCATTACAAAAATGAAATTTAAGTTGGTCATTTTATAATAAATTTTCAAATTAGCAACCTGATTTTAGGAGCATTATTACATCCATGTTATATGTTTTAGGTTAACCAATGAGGAATATTATCATGATAAATGTTGATTTTTAAATAACAATATAATTATGGCAAGTGAGAAAAAATGATCATGCTCTTGAAATTGAACTTTCTTTGCGTCCGCATGATACTATTTTTCTTAACGGAAACTTTTTCAGTTATAAATTCTCTTTTGCATATTTTGAGAAATATCTATTTCATGTGTTATTAAGCTTTTATGTATAGCTAACATTATATATAACTCCTAATGATGATTTAATTATAACTATTTTTTGCTCTTCAAAATGAATTGTCTATTGATAATAGTAATATATAATCTGGAAACATTTTTAAATGTATGCTAACATTTATTATCAATTTTTAAATATTAAAATAATTTTTCAGCCAGCTAAATATGGTATTTTTCACTTGTAATGCCTGTGGACAAGCAATAAAGAAAAATCAAGTAGAAAAGCATTATACTTCACAATGCCGTAATTGTGAAGTTCTCTCTTGCATGGATTGTGGAAAAGATTTTTAGTAAGTTATTTTATTTTCATATTTTAGTAGAGGACTGCTAACCACTATAATTTTATTAATAAATACAATGACCAGGACGACATTAATATTTTAAAAACACAAATCATCAATAAATTATAAGGTCTGACAATAAGTTTGCAGATTTGTGGCTCTTGTGTCCATTGTGGCAGTCACTGTCATGTTGAATCTGTCATCATGTTGATTTCTCACAGCAGCCATCTTATCGTCATATGAAGTCTTGTTTGTGGCCACATCCATTATTCTTTNAGATGATCTGCTTTAGTTCATTTTCACAGAAAAGCAAACTTAGGGTGTCGTACTCATAGTGCCATCTGTTGGACATAAAAGCCTTAACCTAGATTATATATTTTAATTTATATGAATGTTTAACGGAATAATATACAGCCTATGTCCACCCTGAGGTTTCATTCTAAATATCGGTGAAAGAATTTCTGAAATCGGATGAGTAGTTTCGGAGATTACCTGCTGCAAACAAACTTACATACATACTTACAAACATTACCTCTTTATAATATTAGTATAGATATGTGTTATTGTTTGTAGTTATATGTAGTTTTGTAGAATGGCAATTTTATAAGCAATTTTAATGGAAATTGTTGATATTTAAAGTTTCTTATTCATTCTTATTTATTTATATTCATCTGATCATTGTTATAATATGCAGTATCATCACAACTTTTTGTTTTTATGTCATTTTAATAATTATTATAATCATTACTATTTATGTTACAGCATATAAAAAATACAATAGCAACAACTAAAGTAGAGCCACTTCTTCAGCATTTATTAGAGCAAATAATTACATATCCAAATGTCCCTAGAAAGAAATTTAAATTTGAGGTAATAAAAATATATTTAGTATTTGAAAATTAAAGTATAATTATTAATTCTGTAATTTTTTTTTTCTTTTTTTGTGGATGAAACATTGTAAATTATATATTTTTCAGAATTTTATAAAGAATTGTTTAAGATGTGGTAATGTTAAGTATATTAACAAAGCTTGGGAAATTTTTGATAAAGCACAAAAGGTAATTGTTTTTTAAATGCAAAGTTGATTTTTTTAAATATATTTTTAAAGTTCTTTGTAGATTCAACTAAATAATAGTTTTTTTATATTCCTGACTTTATAAACAGAAATTGGTATTTTCTAATCGGAAAATACATTATTATATTTATTAAAAAAATTAAAGGAAATATTAATTTTTCAATTTATTTAAATGTAATTGAGTCAAAAAAAATTATGTATTTGTAATTATGTACAGTCAAATCTTGTTTATCTAATTCAAACTGTACTGGATCCAATCTTGAAGAATGAAAATCCAGATACACTGAAATTAATAGGGTATTAAAAGTAATGTTTAAAATTCTGTACTGAAAATATTTTTTAATGATTGGACATGCTTTACTGACTTCAAAACAATAGCAACATAAAAATTACTTGATACATACAGTTTGTGTTTTTATCCATAAAAATATGAATATGTTCCTTTTTATCAATCTGGATGAATGGGATCTGGATAAACAGGGTTTGACTGTATTTAATTATAAATAATACAATTATATAATTGCAAATTTATAAATTTTTAAAATTTAATTTTACTATTTTATAAATATTTTTTATGTATGATACTAAACTTATTGAAATTGTTTTCTAGATTTAATTACTAAAACTGTAGACTGTAAAATTCAATTGTGTGATGTATCTCGTTAATATTTTAAAAACACAAATCATCAATAAATTATAAGGTCTGACAATAAGTTTGCAGATTTGTGGCTCTTGTGTCCATTGTGGCAGTCACTGTCATGTTGAATCTGTCATCATGTTGATTTCTCACAGCAGCCATCTTATCGTCATATGAAGTCTTGTTTGTGGCCACATCCATTATTCTTTGTGTGGATTGTGGTGCTTAATTGCAAAAATGTTAATTTGAATTGGAGCAGTGAGTAAACATCAAATTTCTTCAATTAAAAAAGTAGACAGTATATTAACAACATAAAAAATAGAAGAAACTAAGTCATCATATTTATTATGTTCAAAATTACCGGGAATAAAATACAGTGAAATGTCAGTATAACAAATACCTGTTTAATGAAATTTTTAGTATAGTAAATGCCAGATTAATGAAATTTTTGGTATAGTGAATATATCTTGAATCTCCTGCCAATTTCTTATTCAGCTAAATGCAAAAATGTTTCAAATTAACAAATACCATTATAATGAAAATTTCTATTTAACATAATAAAAATTCTCTCCATTATGAAAGAATAGTTTCATTATAATGAAATCTATAAATGCATAAATTATTTATTATTAATATATGATGAATATTATGTCAAACAGTCTGGCAACATTAATCGTAATGTCTACTTCAACCGGAAACATTAATTTTAATCCTTAGTTATGGTTTCATTTTGATGTTATTACTCTACTGTTTATTTCTTTTTAAGTTTATGACAAAAATGGAGAAAAACAAAAAACACAGTTTTCTTTGGAAGAGATTAATAAAATATTAGATAATGTGCAAAAAGAAATTAAACAAAAGATGTGCCTGACAGTCTAATGGAATGCAGTATCACAGTACTGAATTTTATCAAAAAATTTTGAATAAAGAAACAACAAACACAAAATTAGACTTCTTATACAGAAAATAATGGCTTTAAGTAGAATAACAATTAAAAAGGCAGGATTCCAACTGATCAGTACTACTATATTGTTATTTTAGTTGTTTGCTCTTGATATTTTTTTTGATAATTTCTTATTACAGATTAATTTTTATTTTAATTTAATATAACTTACATTCTGAAAATGTAAAATTTGATTCCATATAAATACTAATAGACAAATTGTATTTTTGAAAACTTTCTTACTTCAAAATGTAAGTGATTTTTTTTTTTCTTTTCTTTTATCCTTGCATTTTTGACTGTATTTCAATGGTCTCCTCAATTTTGTTATATTGACATTTCACTGTATATACAAAATTGAAATTATGTACAGGGTGGTTATAATTAAAGTTGCCCTACTCAGACCTGTATAGAGTCCATTCTCTTTGACGTATTTTGATGAAACTTGGTACATACGTTATACGGATCATGGGGGAAATGAAAATGCAAAAAAATAATTAGTTCAAATTTCTACCACTAGGTGAAAAATGGCGAATGAAGAACAAGAAACACAAAATGGAAACATGCAAAATATTTTTATTCACGTCATTTGTTCAATGTGCAATCCATTTTCGTCACTCACATGTTCAAAGTGCCTTACAGCATGTTCAACAGTAGCCCAATAGGTTTCTTGAGAAATTGCAGCAATATGGCATGTTATGCTTTCTTTCAATTTAGGCAGAGTCTGTATGGTTGTCTGGGATATCTGAAAGATCATGTCTATAGAGGAGGCATATGAACTCTGCTTGAACTGAAAGCAAGCATAACATACCATATTGATGCAATTTCTTAAGAATCTGTGGGATTACCTGTCCTATTCACCAGATTTGGGTTTATATGTCCATTGTGTTTCTAAAAATAAAAGAAACACAGAAATGAATATGTTTGGATGATATTGATGACATTATAGTAAAATGATGGTAGTTCTAAAACTGCTTTGAAGCATGGACAAGATGCTGGCATCTGTGTATAACTTTCCAAGATTACTTTGAAGCAGAGCACAGTAATTTTCAATAAAGTATGTAGCAATTTAAATGTGATGAGTTCTGAACTTAATGCCATTCAATTAACATTCCAAATATTTTCAAATTTTCTGTAATCTATCTTCAGATTCTTCTACAATTTGTAATTGACTAATACTGTGCTTGCACACAATTCACAACTCACTTTGATCTCGATTTATCCACAATCTCGATTGCAATTGTCGCAAGTCGAATGTTGAACTGTTCACTCAGACAATCTGATTGAGAAGAACCCAGTTATTGCACATGATGATAAAACTGACATAAATACTTGATAAGTCACAAACACCAACAACAAAACTGAAATTTTGGTTTAGAAATAAATACTTTTTCTTGCCATATATCTAATATAAGCCATATATCTAATATAAGCCAGATATCATTCTCTCTCCAAATATCTCTTCTTATATCTCTGTTAATAACCTGACACATGTTCCACAGCCATCTTGTTTCTTCTTGTGCATGAGGGATATTGGGAACTCTCTTAAGACTGGATCTAGTTTCACAAACTCTCTTGAGTCAATCACAATTGAACCTTGTTTCAGTCAAGATTGAAATGGTCGAGAGAGGTCACACCACAGCACTAGTCATCGATCTTATTGCAATCTAGATTGAAATACTCGGTGCAAACAGGGTATAACAAAGTTTAACTGATAAAAATCTTTCTATTACCATGGAAATTAGATTGTTGAAACTTACATATTACTCATTGTAACATGGAGCTATAGCAAAATTGCAGATTCATTAATTTAAATAAAAAGAAAATTACTAAAATTATAAAAACTAATAAATATAAAAGTATTAAATTATATTTTAAAAGAAGCTTACATTTAAAATTTGAGATTTTCAGACCCAGTAGATTTTTCTCTAGGAGTATCTGCAGTGCTGGATGAAGAAAAAGAAAATACAGCTTTTCTTAATGATTTTTGCACTATTTGATTGCTTGTATTTCAGCAACCCCTTTATAGAAAAGGCTGAAATTTTGCACACTACTTAAGTAGTATGTAAAATTTCAAAGCAATTATCTTTTGAATGAAATATTCAGAATTACTATAAACCTTTGGGGAGATGGAGAAATCAACCCCTAAAAGTCAGCAACTCTGATTCCTGTTTATACAGTCAGTTAGTGACGTTTTTAATTGGAACAGAATCACTGTCATTACTCTTAATATAAATAAATTTTTCTTGACTGTCAAAATTAAATGATGGAATTATATAGACTCTATTGTTATTTTCATGCAAAATTTTTTTACTGTCATTTCTTAGAAGGAAAATTCTTATTTTTTCTTAAACGTGTTTCTCTGACTAGCAATCTTTTTGTTAAATTTTTCAAATTAGTAAAATGGAGACGTCTTTCTATTTTTTTCATATTATCAATAATGAGTCATCTATATACCATGGTGGAATTGCCAGGTGGTGAGGGATGGGGCTCAATGTATTCAGGAGAGACTACTATGAAAAATTCATTGGATTTTTTTAAACAACCTGGATTTGATACTGGGTTCTCCTGAGTGGTATGCTGATTTCTTAACTGCCTCAACATCCAGCTATCAATGAAATACTTAGAATATTTTTAAAGTTACATTCTAAAAAAATTTCTTAAATATTTTATTACATTATTTTAGTATTGAAGTTTGAAAAATCTGTAAATTATATAATATGCTTAAAATAAATTATTTTCATAATTTATTTATTTAGCAAAAATCACAAAATTCAAAAGATAATAAACCTGAAGAAGTTGAAAATGAAAAAAATGAAACTGACAACTCAACTGATGCTAAAAATCCCGAGAATGGTAAAGTAGATAAAAGAAAAAAGAAACACAAAGAAAATAAAGGACAAAATGACAATAATGATTCAGTTGATGTCATTAATAATGAAAATAATAAAACAAATAAGAGAAAAAGGAAAGAAGATGAAGAAAACACAGAAGAATCAAAACGAATTTGTTTGGGTGAAGTTACTGAATCATCAGTAAATAACGGTAAGTATTTCTTAAATGCATATTATATATTGTATTTACAGTATATATAAATAATTGTGTTATAATTAGTAAAAACAATTATCCCTTGTATAACGCTGATTCTTACAACATAGTTTTGCTCTTACACAGTTTGACAATTGCAGACATCCCCTGTACAAAATTTTTAAATGAAGAGTTATTTAAATATTTTTATTTAAGCATATGTGCTATCTCATATTTGCTTGTGGATTTTAGAATATTGAAATTTTCAATGTTGTTTCATGCCTTTCACCCAATTTTATTTAATGAGAACTGGTTGTACAATTTATCTTCTTCCTTGTCCTAATATCCTATTATAGCTTAATTATAATTCAGGTGTCACTGTCATTTTACATTACATGATAAGTTTGAAAAATAAAAATACATTACAGAAACATTTATTTATTAATGATGCCTTATGCTTGTAACTAAAGTAACCAAATTATACTTTCAAATAAAAAGTAAAGTAAAATATAACAATCTATTTCAAATAAACAAACATTTATCTTATAATCGTGATGGGTTGATGATAATAATAATAATAAATGCAGAGCCCAAACAGTTAGGAGTTGAAAGTTGAAATTTGGTACCAGTTTGAGTACGTCATGAGAACGTACACTAAGAAGGGATATTTTGAAATTCCCCCCACAGGAGAGAGGGAAAGGATTAAGGCTTATCCTAAAGAACTCTGCTTCTACTGTAGTATTTTAGATGCAATTTTTTATTTTTAACTGCGTTTTAGTAGGGTACCATATGGAAATGAAAGAAGTGTATTCCTTAACAATGGAAGTGTTAAAAAGTATTTGTTTCGATTATCCGGATTTTTCCTTATCCGGACTACCTTCATCCCCAATTAGTCCGGATAATCAAGGTTCTACTGTACTTCTTATGCATGGTGATTTATGATTTTGAATTTTGTTGTGTTTGTCATATTAATCTAGAGACATCAGTAATCATTTTCTTTTTCTCTTGGCTATCAACTATTTATTTCTGCTTAAACAACAGAAGTTAAAATATTTTAATTCAATTCTGGGCCCTTTCTGTGCTACAGAGATGGAAAGTATTTCTGATTTTTGTTTTGCATTATTTTTTTACAGATGGGAACAACACTGTATGAGATACAATTTATAATCATAATTATTTTCACATGATAAATATACTAAATTCATGATAAATTCATGAGCCTTGGCGGTTAGTAAAATTATTCAAAAGGACCTTGGGAGAGCACTGTATTAAATAATAATATAGCATTAAATATGTCTAATTTATGAATTGAATTTTTTTTTTAATTTAAAAAATTAGATTTTAAAATTGTGTAATTTAATACCAGTATCATATTAATGAACTCAATTTGCCTTTTGAACCTGTTTTAAAAGTTTAAATTTATAACAATTTAATTATTTTAATCTGTAAAATTTTGAATTATAAAAGTGTTTTACACTTTTGTAATATGTTTAATGCTGAATATGATCAAAAACATTCTATTTTAAATCCTTGCATTTCTTGCTAATATGGTGGGTTACATTCCAAATCACTCCTATAAAGTGATATTGCTTTAAAACCAACCACTGCATGCTTTTCATATGCCAGTGCAAGTAAAAGACTAAAACACATTTAAACTCATTTATGAGCACTAGCTGTAAAAAATTGCAAATGTAAAAATAATAAATAAATAAAACAACTTCTTCACAAAATCACTGGAAAGAATAATCAACATACTAGAACCTTTTTATATCCCAGTAAGAATAAATAAATAAATCTGAAAAATTCTCCTTAAGAGCAAACCAAGTACTGAAAATAATAAACATAAATACAATTATAAAATACTATATTATCAAAACAATCTAAAACAAATTTGAGAAATTTCTGTATACATTTTGTTAATCTTAAAATAGCAATATTTTGTTTATTTACAAATGTTATATTTCAGAAAGCTATTTAATATTATTATTAATATTACATTAATGTTAATTAAGTAACATTGACAATCCTGTATAATAAAGTTCATACAGTAAAATTAATTTGACAATGTTGAAGAACTGTCTTATGTAGTGTCCAGTGCTGTCTAGAGCTTATAAAGGGACTTAGGGGGAAAGCAAACATCCTTTGCTATTTTTCTTGAACAAATGAAACATGTAGTGTGTTTGTTTATTGATTAAAAAAATCAGTCTTTAATATTTCATTTTCTGTTAGTAAAAATAACATTTAATTTATAGAGTTGGTAACCATTACAGGTTGATAAGTTCTCTCTGCAATCAGAGAAAAATCTCCAACTCCCCGTCTCTATGATCATGATAATGTTTGCAGAAATTTATAATCACTATATACTTGTACTAGCAGACCTCGCCACACGTTGTTGTGGTTCAAAATGTATGTATTATAAATGTATAACACTTCCCCCGTGGGGAAAATTTTTCGAAAAATTTCTTCTTAGTGTATATTCTCTTGACATACCCTATTAAAACGCAATCAAAAACGCAAAAACCCACATCTAAAATAATATAATAGAAGCCAAGTTCTTCACGGTAAGCCTTAATTCTGTCTCTCTCCCCCGCGGGGGAATATCGAAAAATCCCTTCTTAGTGTACATTCTGTTGACGTACTCTATTAAAACGCAATCAAAAACGCAAAAAACCGCATCTAAAATAGTATAAATAGAAGCAGAGTTCTTTACGGTAAGCCTTAATCCTAACCATCTCCCTTCAGTGGGGGGAATTTCGACATGTATATTATATAAAAACACGTGCGTATTCAAATGCAGCGTTGTGTCAAAATTTCAAAGGAATCGGTAGGAACAAACGAACATTACATTTTTATTTATATAGATAGATAGAAGATGATCTGCTTTAGTTCATTTTCACAGGAAGGCAATGCCTCACAGAAAAGCAAACTTAGGGTGTCGTACTCATAGTGCCATCTGTTGGACATAAAAGCCTTAACCTAGATTATATATTTTAATTTATATGAATGTTTAACGGAATAATATACAGCCTATGTCCACCCTGAGGTTTCATTCTAAATATCGGTGAAAGAATTTCTGAAATCGGATGAGTAGTTTCGGAGATTACCTGCTGCAAACAAACTTACATACATACTTACAAACATTACCTCTTTATAATATTAGTATAGATATGTGTTATTGTTTGTAGTTATATGTAGTTTTGTAGAATGGCAATTTTATAAGCAATTTTAATGGAAATTGTTGATATTTAAAGTTTCTTATTCATTCTTATTTATTTATATTCATCTGATCATTGTTATAATATGCAGTATCATCACAACTTTTTGTTTTTATGTCATTTTAATAATTATTATAATCATTACTATTTATGTTACAGCATATAAAAAATACAATAGCAACAACTAAAGTAGAGCCACTTCTTCAGCATTTATTAGAGCAAATAATTACATATCCAAATGTCCCTAGAAAGAAATTTAAATTTGAGGTAATAAAAATATATTTAGTATTTGAAAATTAAAGTATAATTATTAATTCTGTAATTTTTTTTTTCTTTTTTTGTGGATGAAACATTGTAAATTATATATTTTTCAGAATTTTATAAAGAATTGTTTAAGATGTGGTAATGTTAAGTATATTAACAAAGCTTGGGAAATTTTTGATAAAGCACAAAAGGTAATTGTTTTTTAAATGCAAAGTTGATTTTTTTAAATATATTTTTAAAGTTCTTTGTAGATTCAACTAAATAATAGTTTTTTTATATTCCTGACTTTATAAACAGAAATTGGTATTTTCTAATCGGAAAATACATTATTATATTTATTAAAAAAATTAAAGGAAATATTAATTTTTCAATTTATTTAAATGTAATTGAGTCAAAAAAAATTATGTATTTGTAATTATGTACAGTCAAATCTTGTTTATCTAATTCAAACTGTACTGGATCCAATCTTGAAGAATGAAAATCCAGATACACTGAAATTAATAGGGTATTAAAAGTAATGTTTAAAATTCTGTACTGAAAATATTTTTTAATGATTGGACATGCTTTACTGACTTCAAAACAATAGCAACATAAAAATTACTTGATACATACAGTTTGTGTTTTTATCCATAAAAATATGAATATGTTCCTTTTTATCAATCTGGATGAATGGGATCTGGATAAACAGGGTTTGACTGTATTTAATTATAAATAATACAATTATATAATTGCAAATTTATAAATTTTTAAAATTTAATTTTACTATTTTATAAATATTTTTTATGTATGATACTAAACTTATTGAAATTGTTTTCTAGATTTAATTACTAAAACTGTAGACTGTAAAATTCAATTGTGTGATGTATCTCGTTAATATTTTAAAAACACAAATCATCAATAAATTATAAGGTCTGACAATAAGTTTGCAGATTTGTGGCTCTTGTGTCCATTGTGGCAGTCACTGTCATGTTGAATCTGTCATCATGTTGATTTCTCACAGCAGCCATCTTATCGTCATATGAAGTCTTGTTTGTGGCCACATCCATTATTCTTTGTGTGGATTGTGGTGCTTAATTGCAAAAATGTTAATTTGAATTGGAGCAGTGAGTAAACATCAAATTTCTTCAATTAAAAAAGTAGACAGTATATTAACAACATAAAAAATAGAAGAAACTAAGTCATCATATTTATTATGTTCAAAATTACCGGGAATAAAATACAGTGAAATGTCAGTATAACAAATACCTGTTTAATGAAATTTTTAGTATAGTAAATGCCAGATTAATGAAATTTTTGGTATAGTGAATATATCTTGAATCTCCTGCCAATTTCTTATTCAGCTAAATGCAAAAATGTTTCAAATTAACAAATACCATTATAATGAAAATTTCTATTTAACATAATAAAAATTCTCTCCATTATGAAAGAATAGTTTCATTATAATGAAATCTATAAATGCATAAATTATTTATTATTAATATATGATGAATATTATGTCAAACAGTCTGGCAACATTAATCGTAATGTCTACTTCAACCGGAAACATTAATTTTAATCCTTAGTTATGGTTTCATTTTGATGTTATTACTCTACTGTTTATTTCTTTTTAAGTTTATGACAAAAATGGAGAAAAACAAAAAACACAGTTTTCTTTGGAAGAGATTAATAAAATATTAGATAATGTGCAAAAAGAAATTAAACAAAAGATGTGCCTGACAGTCTAATGGAATGCAGTATCACAGTACTGAATTTTATCAAAAAATTTTGAATAAAGAAACAACAAACACAAAATTAGACTTCTTATACAGAAAATAATGGCTTTAAGTAGAATAACAATTAAAAAGGCAGGATTCCAACTGATCAGTACTACTATATTGTTATTTTAGTTGTTTGCTCTTGATATTTTTTTTGATAATTTCTTATTACAGATTAATTTTTATTTTAATTTAATATAACTTACATTCTGAAAATGTAAAATTTGATTCCATATAAATACTAATAGACAAATTGTATTTTTGAAAACTTTCTTACTTCAAAATGTAAGTGATTTTTTTTTTTCTTTTCTTTTATCCTTGCATTTTTGACTGTATTTCAATGGTCTCCTCAATTTTGTTATATTGACATTTCACTGTATATACAAAATTGAAATTATGTACAGGGTGGTTATAATTAAAGTTGCCCTACTCAGACCTGTATAGAGTCCATTCTCTTTGACGTATTTTGATGAAACTTGGTACATACGTTATACGGATCATGGGGGAAATGAAAATGCAAAAAAATAATTAGTTCAAATTTCTACCACTAGGTGAAAAATGGCGAATGAAGAACAAGAAACACAAAATGGAAACATGCAAAATATTTTTATTCACGTCATTTGTTCAATGTGCAATCCATTTTCGTCACTCACATGTTCAAAGTGCCTTACAGCATGTTCAACAGTAGCCCAATAGGTTTCTTGAGAAATTGCAGCAATATGGCATGTTATGCTTTCTTTCAATTTAGGCAGAGTCTGTATGGTTGTCTGGGATATCTGAAAGATCATGTCTATAGAGGAGGCATATGAACTCTGCTTGAACTGAAAGCAAGCATAACATACCATATTGATGCAATTTCTTAAGAATCTGTGGGATTACCTGTCCTATTCACCAGATTTGGGTTTATATGTCCATTGTGTTTCTAAAAATAAAAGAAACACAGAAATGAATATGTTTGGATGATATTGATGACATTATAGTAAAATGATGGTAGTTCTAAAACTGCTTTGAAGCATGGACAAGATGCTGGCATCTGTGTATAACTTTCCAAGATTACTTTGAAGCAGAGCACAGTAATTTTCAATAAAGTATGTAGCAATTTAAATGTGATGAGTTCTGAACTTAATGCCATTCAATTAACATTCCAAATATTTTCAAATTTTCTGTAATCTATCTTCAGATTCTTCTACAATTTGTAATTGACTAATACTGTGCTTGCACACAATTCACAACTCACTTTGATCTCGATTTATCCACAATCTCGATTGCAATTGTCGCAAGTCGAATGTTGAACTGTTCACTCAGACAATCTGATTGAGAAGAACCCAGTTATTGCACATGATGATAAAACTGACATAAATACTTGATAAGTCACAAACACCAACAACAAAACTGAAATTTTGGTTTAGAAATAAATACTTTTTCTTGCCATATATCTAATATAAGCCATATATCTAATATAAGCCAGATATCATTCTCTCTCCAAATATCTCTTCTTATATCTCTGTTAATAACCTGACACATGTTCCACAGCCATCTTGTTTCTTCTTGTGCATGAGGGATATTGGGAACTCTCTTAAGACTGGATCTAGTTTCACAAACTCTCTTGAGTCAATCACAATTGAACCTTGTTTCAGTCAAGATTGAAATGGTCGAGAGAGGTCACACCACAGCACTAGTCATCGATCTTATTGCAATCTAGATTGAAATACTCGGTGCAAACAGGGTATAACAAAGTTTAACTGATAAAAATCTTTCTATTACCATGGAAATTAGATTGTTGAAACTTACATATTACTCATTGTAACATGGAGCTATAGCAAAATTGCAGATTCATTAATTTAAATAAAAAGAAAATTACTAAAATTATAAAAACTAATAAATATAAAAGTATTAAATTATATTTTAAAAGAAGCTTACATTTAAAATTTGAGATTTTCAGACCCAGTAGATTTTTCTCTAGGAGTATCTGCAGTGCTGGATGAAGAAAAAGAAAATACAGCTTTTCTTAATGATTTTTGCACTATTTGATTGCTTGTATTTCAGCAACCCCTTTATAGAAAAGGCTGAAATTTTGCACACTACTTAAGTAGTATGTAAAATTTCAAAGCAATTATCTTTTGAATGAAATATTCAGAATTACTATAAACCTTTGGGGAGATGGAGAAATCAACCCCTAAAAGTCAGCAACTCTGATTCCTGTTTATACAGTCAGTTAGTGACGTTTTTAATTGGAACAGAATCACTGTCATTACTCTTAATATAAATAAATTTTTCTTGACTGTCAAAATTAAATGATGGAATTATATAGACTCTATTGTTATTTTCATGCAAAATTTTTTTACTGTCATTTCTTAGAAGGAAAATTCTTATTTTTTCTTAAACGTGTTTCTCTGACTAGCAATCTTTTTGTTAAATTTTTCAAATTAGTAAAATGGAGACGTCTTTCTATTTTTTTCATATTATCAATAATGAGTCATCTATATACCATGGTGGAATTGCCAGGTGGTGAGGGATGGGGCTCAATGTATTCAGGAGAGACTACTATGAAAAATTCATTGGATTTTTTTAAACAACCTGGATTTGATACTGGGTTCTCCTGAGTGGTATGCTGATTTCTTAACTGCCTCAACATCCAGCTATCAATGAAATACTTAGAATATTTTTAAAGTTACATTCTAAAAAAATTTCTTAAATATTTTATTACATTATTTTAGTATTGAAGTTTGAAAAATCTGTAAATTATATAATATGCTTAAAATAAATTATTTTCATAATTTATTTATTTAGCAAAAATCACAAAATTCAAAAGATAATAAACCTGAAGAAGTTGAAAATGAAAAAAATGAAACTGACAACTCAACTGATGCTAAAAATCCCGAGAATGGTAAAGTAGATAAAAGAAAAAAGAAACACAAAGAAAATAAAGGACAAAATGACAATAATGATTCAGTTGATGTCATTAATAATGAAAATAATAAAACAAATAAGAGAAAAAGGAAAGAAGATGAAGAAAACACAGAAGAATCAAAACGAATTTGTTTGGGTGAAGTTACTGAATCATCAGTAAATAACGGTAAGTATTTCTTAAATGCATATTATATATTGTATTTACAGTATATATAAATAATTGTGTTATAATTAGTAAAAACAATTATCCCTTGTATAACGCTGATTCTTACAACATAGTTTTGCTCTTACACAGTTTGACAATTGCAGACATCCCCTGTACAAAATTTTTAAATGAAGAGTTATTTAAATATTTTTATTTAAGCATATGTGCTATCTCATATTTGCTTGTGGATTTTAGAATATTGAAATTTTCAATGTTGTTTCATGCCTTTCACCCAATTTTATTTAATGAGAACTGGTTGTACAATTTATCTTCTTCCTTGTCCTAATATCCTATTATAGCTTAATTATAATTCAGGTGTCACTGTCATTTTACATTACATGATAAGTTTGAAAAATAAAAATACATTACAGAAACATTTATTTATTAATGATGCCTTATGCTTGTAACTAAAGTAACCAAATTATACTTTCAAATAAAAAGTAAAGTAAAATATAACAATCTATTTCAAATAAACAAACATTTATCTTATAATCGTGATGGGTTGATGATAATAATAATAATAAATGCAGAGCCCAAACAGTTAGGAGTTGAAAGTTGAAATTTGGTACCAGTTTGAGTACGTCATGAGAACGTACACTAAGAAGGGATATTTTGAAATTCCCCCCACAGGAGAGAGGGAAAGGATTAAGGCTTATCCTAAAGAACTCTGCTTCTACTGTAGTATTTTAGATGCAATTTTTTATTTTTAACTGCGTTTTAGTAGGGTACCATATGGAAATGAAAGAAGTGTATTCCTTAACAATGGAAGTGTTAAGAGAAAGCAACATGTAAGATTTATAGGCGCAGATGTGGTTTTTTGCATTTTTGTGGAAAATCGAACATATTTTTAGACCCAACTAAAAATTTTCTAATTAGTCTGGAAACAGGGAGACCTAATTCTTGCATTCTGTGAAAACAGGTAAGATTGACTATAATGTAATAATCTTAATCTTTGCTGTTGTTACTTTTTTGCCCAAGCAATGCTAGGCTTATCTGCTAGTAAAGTAATAATTTTTGATAATGTAACATAAGTACAATAATAATCAAATTATTTTGCACATTTCATACAAATTTTTGTTCTCAAAACATTTTGGCTTCTTGCAGCATCTTAGTATTTTGTAAATCAACTAGTACTGATTCTCTAATACATTTATGTTCACTTATTTAGTTATCAATGTTATGAGTGGATGACTAGACTTTATCATCATTCTCACAATTAGTTTTTATATAATTTATATTAGTAAAAGATGCTTCATATCACTCAAAGAAATTCTTCACAATCTGAATCCCCATATCAAACTGATTTAGAAGTTCCAGGAAAAAGTTATTATAGATATAAAAACACATCTGTTACATTCACATCATGGTGTGGTCTCTCAAATTTAAATTTTAAATTTGTGACTGGAAAACTTCTTGTCTAGAAATAGTAAGAACACTATTCAACTGCACAGAACACTAACTTAAAACTACATGAAATAACGAACTTTAACATTATACCAGTGGTGAATCCTACAACAATAACCATGTTGGGATGTCTGTGAGACTGTACGACAGCAGTTAAGATTAAAATAAAAGATGATGTTTTAATACAGAAAATTTAATAAAAAAAGTCAGAAACATTGGCCATCTTAGTGCTTTTGTCATTATGACTCATCTTGAGGAATACCAAATATAATACTTTTTCCTATAGTTTCAATAATTGATATAAGTTCAGTCCTCAATTTGATAATTAACAATATGAAATTGCTGGATGAAGTAAGAAGTAAATTTCGGCAGTGCTTCACAAGTTGTTTGTAGTTTAATTAATAGAAAATATATTGTTTTCAGCTATAAAAATAATATAACAGTACATAACTATATTATAATAGTTATTTAATCATGAATGAATGTTTGGAGTTAAATTATGTAGATGTAGAAATTAATAATGTTCTTGGTTGCTTTTGAGTATTTGAGAATTAATGTTTTTTACTGTAAGCATTGCAGTGGAACTGATGCACCATATGCATATACTCACAATGCTGGAGAGAACTTGTTTGCACCTGAATAAATGTTAAAAGTAACATGTTTTTCCTGTATATTTTATTTTATTAATTTTTGGTAAGAAACTAGAATGGTAAGATTCTGTCTTGATAGGAATTAATCCAATAGGATTTTGTCCTACAGGATTCTGCTATGAAGATTTTTCTGGTAGGATTTTGTAAATGAGCTTTGTTTGGAGTGCAATATATCTATCAGCTCAATGTATTGAATCAATGTATATATTCACAGTAATTGATTACAATATGCCCACATATGCTATATTATATAGCTTTGTGATCATGAAAACTTTATATCATTATTGGGCTGCAGGTTGAAAAAATTGTAGACCTATAACTTCCCACTGTTGTCCATCTGTCTGTCATCCCTTAATCTTGAGAACAGAGTTAGATAGATGTAAGACAAGACCAGATATAGAAACCTTAGGGGCAGGAGGCTCCAATTAACTTTATGAACATCCAATGCAAACCTGAAGTCATGTCATTTCAGTTCAAAAATTTTCCCCTGAGAGGAGTTAGATAGATAACAGGCCCAACTCTGTTGTTAAAGGAAAAATATGATGTACAGGGGAAAGCCACTTTTAATTTGAGATGGAGAGTATATATTTTAAATTAAATAAATTAAAAATATGATTAAAAATTGCAGCCTGGCATTTTGGCCTCTTTGTGCTCTCTGAGCAGTAAGAGGCCTAAAACCACAAAAAAAAAAAAAAAAAAACACTGATCCCTCAGCTAATAAAGAATTTATATCTACTAACAATTTTTATTATAAATGTCTACCTCTAAATTATTTATTATTTTTTCCTGAAATTTACTTCCATGAAGAGGATAATATTTTACTATTTCTTACTAATAACTTTTACCAAAGACGTTTTGATAAATTTATAAGTTAGTGATATAATATTTTTTGTTCTATCAAAGTTCTTTAGTAATTTCATCACTACTCCTCTCTTTAATGAGATGAAAGAGATGATAAGAGAGTTCATAAAAGAAAAAAATGTTTGAAACTAGAAAAGTTGGATATGAAAAAATTCCTCAGTGAATTGTTAGTTAAAGGATTTAGTGAAATATTACTTTTGCATAGACAAAATGGCTGTAGAAGAAATGAATAATTTTAAGGATAAATTATAATTTTATTGTTTTGAAATACACATTACAGTAGAGCGTCGATTATCCAAAAGTCAATCATCCGAAACGTCAATTATCCAAAAGAATTCCAGTTGGCAAATTTAAATTTTCGCCAGTGCTGTGGCACTTCAATCTTTGGCTATGTCTTGGGCTACTCAAATATTTTATGTTTTTGATACTAAATTAACATCTGAAGTATAAATTTTTTTTTATTGTTTTTATATTTTTCAATATATTTATTTTGTTTGTACAAAATAAAAAAATAATTTTAAACGATACAATAGTCTTTGTTAGGCTTAACATCGACGAAAATTCAATGCAAAGCGACACGCAACGGAGAAAAATTTCAAAATCGGATATGTTAAACTATTTTTTCGTACGTAAATNTAAACGATACAATAGTCTTTGTTAGGCTTAACATTGACGAAAATTCAACATGAAGAGACGCAACGGAGAAAAATTTCAAAATCGGATATGTTAAACTATTTTTTCGTACGTAATCGGTTATCCGAACAACCCCAGTCCCCAATTGATTCGGATAATCGACGCTCTACTGTATTAGTTTATCAAATAAAATCTAATTTTGGCAATTAAACTTAAAAAGTTTTTGGTATGAATTTAAATATTTTGAATGTTAGTACATTTTCATTGTTAAAATTTTGTTGCTAGATTATTATATGAGTGAAAAAATGAACATTTATTGGAATAGATTAGGAAATTTTAGAATTTTAGACTCTCATTGCATCTGTATCTGCTGAAAACTTAAAAGTAAAACTTTTTCCTTTTAAGAAACACTTGAGTACTTGTGAATATATATTTACTTTGTTATTTAACTTCAGTAAAATATTTGTTTTATATAAATGAATTGTTATTGGAGTTTAAAAGTGCTTCATTTTCATATCATCTCTGTCATGCCTTTTTGCAGCATACAAAAAAATTCTTAGTCTTTTATCAGATTAAGTGATGGATCATATTTACAACTACAAAATAAAAATATATATCCAAATATTCCATTTAAATTTATCATATTTATTCATTTAATTATTTAATAATGAAATATATATTGTTTTAATTTTATTAATCATATATTTGTCTTAATGTCAAAGTGTAGCTTTGCTAACATTTTAAAAGTAGCTTTAGGACTTATTTTGGAATGAACTGAATACAGAAACATAATTATGTATTCTATAAATTTATTGAATAAGTTTCCTATCTTATCAACTTCATAGATCTTAATATTAATTGGTTTTATAGCTGAAGAAGAAAAGAAGTTTAAATGGAGCAGAGTTATTTTAGAAATCATGAATAAATATGTTGAAAAAGGAATATCTTTGAAAAAACTTCAAAAAAAGGTAAATTTATTACAAATTATACATAGTAGAGTCACAAATAAATAATCTTTTTTATTTATTTTTGATTCTTTCCACCCCTTAGGTATTAAGAGGAAAATCAAACTTTTGGTACATTTTTTATTATTCAACAGAAAATTTTAAACCACATTACTTTTAAAATAAGCTACACACTTTAGCCTTCATCTATGTCACTTCAAACCAGTCCTGAAAGCTAAATTTTTAAGATGCCTTTAATGACTTTCATCATTGATGCTTCCATTTTTATGCTTATTAGAATCTTCATCCTTTCAACTGCCCTTTCATTTTAACAGATAAAAAATATACAGGACAAAATTGAGGGAGTAATGAACTTGGGATAGCACTATCATATGCTGATTGGTTAGATATTTTCTTATTAGGGACAACTGATAAAAGCCAATGTGCAAGCTCCAAAAACTACAACCAATATATTTTCTTATCTTAAGATATAAGAAAATGATTTCTAGTAATACAATCAATGTGCATTCTAGTACTGCTTTTGCAAATGAAATGGATGTAGCTGCAGAAGATGCTTTATTTAAATGTGATCTACTGTAAATGCTTTTACTATTAACATTTAAAGGTTATTTTAAAAGTATTTTATTGTATAAAAATATAAATAAAAGCAATGGGATCGGTTTATTTAATAAATTTTAAAAATTAAAAATATACAGTACTTTATTTTTTACATTTAAAGTTGTTTTATTAATTTTAGATGATATTTGTATTATGTATCATTTTTTTCTGTCTAATTTGGGTCCAGAGAAGATTACTAACAACTACTGCATAAAGAGATTACTACCCATAGTTTAATGTGCTACTTTTAAGGCATTATCTATTGCATTAATCAAGGACTACTTGGAATCAAATTCTAAAAATTAATTAATAGAGAATCCATAAATATTTATGTAAATGATATAAAGTTATATATTTTCATGGTCTATACAGACCTGGAAAGTCAGGGAATAAGATTTTTAGCAGGAAAAGTCAGAAAAAGTTAGGGAATGGCATTGAAAGTCAGAGAATCTGCAAATACTGTGGAATCCATCTGTTGCTCTCACTCCTTTTTGACCTGAATACGTCTTTAAATTTGATTTAGTATAGTGGTCTACAAAAACTGAATGGCAAGATTTGTCATGCTTATATCTCATAAACTATAAGTGATAATCTAATGATTAAAATTTTGTTGGATAGAGGGTTTACGTTCATATTTAAAATTGTGGGTAGAGGGGGTTGCAGCTACACATGAACACTGAAAATGGTGACATCAATATGAAAGTATTCAATACTAAAGCTGGAAAGATATTTCTTATTCTAGAATAATTTCTCATCTGCCATTAATTAAAACTAATATTCCCATTCATGCTCCAGAACATTTTATTCTATTCAACTATTTCTTTGAAACAGAAACATCCTGATTTCAAAATATTATGGAAATACTATGCAAAAGTTTGAGAAGTTAGTATTTAAGATAAGCCTAAAATTTATTTCATACATTTTATTCAAAGCAGTTTTTTGATAATATAGATGCAGTGATGAAGAGCTGGGTGAAAGATGAGGATAACAGAAATATTAGAATACGTGGTTATTGAATTAAAAGAGAAAGAACAAAAGAATTGTATAAGTGAAACAGAATAAAAAGACAAAAAGAAATGTGATATTCTACAATAATGATTAATGAGACTTTTTGAAATTCTCCATTTTCAACACATTTTCCTTTCTTTTTGTTAAATATTATGAAGTATGGAAATAAACGTTAAAGTACAATACAGTGGGTGATCGGTTAACGAACAGTTTGGACTGTGAACAAATCGGACAACGAACAGTTATGTTCAAATAATGAACACCTGACAGAACAAACAAATGCGACACCTGTGTTTAAGATTTGTAAAACTATATTTTAATGGTATCTATGCATGGTTTGTGGAATAAGACTTTCACAGTTGTATGCATAACCTTTCCTGCACTAGTTAATTTTTGTTCTCTGAATTTTTTAATTGCTTTTCTGAACTTTTTATTTAAAAAACTGATAATATTATGGGAGCTAAAAAGAGTGGAGTGTTAAGAACTGTGTTCACTGTAGAAGCTAAGCAAGAGATAATAGCCAAGGTAGAGAGTAGGCAGAAGATGTCTGATATTGTAGGCAGATGACTTCAACAGATTATAGTAGATATGACCTTAACTAAAAAGATATAATCAAAAAACTCAAGCAGATAAAGGAGTAATGAAAATCGCATCTGAGAAAAAGGATATGCCATCCATGAAAAAATGGAGAGGTTTCTTTTAATTTGTTATTACATGTAAACAAACATAGTAAGAACGTATATAATTTTTTATTTTTATTTTTTTGGGGGTCTCCAGAATGAATTAAACAAATTCCCACAAAAATCTATGGTAAATCGATAGTCGGTTAACAAAGAATTTGGATAGTGAACATGGTCATGGAACGGATTATTTCAGTAACTGATCACCCACTGTCTGTGGATTCTGATGTGATGCAAAACAATAAGTACCATTTCTGAAATTTGTGCAACAAAGTTATTTACATATTGATATAGAAATCCTGTAAACAAGTTGTTTGCAAACTTTGATATTAAATTATATTTTGGAATAAATAAGTTATATGTAATATCTATTTAAATTTTATTTTTATTATGAATAATTAAATTTAATTGTAAATTTCTTTTATAAATAGTTTGAATTTTATTATCTGTGTGATTATATGTTGTAATTATTACTATTAATCTTACTTATATAATAATTGATAATGACGATACATCTACCATTTCAGTTTTGAGAAAGATGACCATTACATGTAACCCTAGACGGTTGCTTTACCTCTTTAGAAGGTCATCTTCACCTCTGTTTCTTATCTGACTAAGAAAAATAGCTCTTTTTCAGCCTTATTATTTTCATATCAACACAAAGTTGTTGATGTTTGTTCCTTCTATATGGAAGAACAAAAATTTGGTTATGTTTTGTAGTTGGATGATCTTCCTATTTTCTGGAGTTGATTTTAGAGAGAGCGATCAAGCTATGGATATAGTTAAACAACACTTGATATTCTGTGCTATCTTTAACATCCAGATTGTATGGTGCTGATAAAACTGGCTTGTTCGGCTGACCCATTGATGACTAGTGAAAACTTATACTTAATAATTTCCTATTTCTCTCCAAGTTTTACCAGATTCCTGTATATCTTTTCAAAGACTTTGAAAGTGGATATGGAAGGAAACTTTAGCTCATTTCTGTCATGTTCTGCTTCTCACCATTTATAGATTGTAGATTTGACTTTGACCCAAAAATAATTAAATGTAAAGAAAATATTAGAGAATATTTATCATTCAGTTCTTAAGATTTAATGTTATCATTAAAGAATGTTTAAAATTACAGCTGTTAATATTAATAGTGAATATGATTTTTCAAATGCTCTCTTTTAATATCTGTTATTTTTCTTTTATTTTAGGCATTGGAACAATATTTTGCAATGGTTGAAGAAGCTGATCAATTACCAAAAGATAAAGTAATTTTAAAATTTCATAAAAAACTAAAACGTATTCCAAACATTAATATTAGTAATGATAGAGTGAACATTCTTCAGGATTAATTTTGTACCAGAAATTGTTAATAAATAATTTTATATAAAATGATTTGAATTACAGCATTTTGATTCAAAGAAAAATAAAACTCTTAATTATTGTATTTTTTTTTTGCCAAAAAGTGTAATGTATCCAATACAAAGTGCATCTTCACACTTTTACATTAATTTTTTCCTGTGAAAAAACATTCTTTACATTTAAAAGATGCATTCAACTTATAGGATGCATCCTAATTTTCAGATAAATTTAGCCACAAATAAGTGCATCATGTAAAGCAAAAAATACAGTACATTTACAATGTTAATTTACAATGTACCTTCAAATCAGAATATTTTGAAATATTTAAAACATTCAAAATTTAAACAGGTATAAAAATAAGTGATTAAAAATTTTAAAAGTTAAAGACACGATATAGAAATTTGCTTATATTTGCATGTACTGTTACTTTGAAGATCCTGGATTAAATCCAGGAACTCCAAAGCAATAAATAAATTAAGAAATAATTTTTCATTATAAAACTTAGAAAATATTTAAAAATAAAACAATTCTGCTAACTAATCATAAATTTTAAATATAATTTATGATTACTTTTCATATGCAATTAATTATCAATAGATATCGCATATGATTTGTTGGAAAAAGTTTTATCAAATGAGGCTTTAAATATAAATTCTAGTGTATTAATTATCCAGAAAAATAACTTTTGCATCAAGAATTTAAAAAGTAAAAGTATCTACAGTTAAATTTTTTTTAATGAAATATGTAGAATATTTCTGTATTAATAAACCGCAGTCAAGCTTACATTTTTTGTTAGTAAAAATAACATTATAGGTGTAGGAAATACTAGTTTTCTCTGTGTCTGGGGGAAAATTTACAGCTCCCCTCTGGACGGGCCTGATGGGCAGAGCAGCCAACCAAATTTCCCATAAAAATAAGTAAATACACTAATTTCTCTTGGCTACCGAATAGTGATATCACTATTGTCAGCATTTATAATGAGCCGAATTGAAATAGATTTTTGTAAGAGTATAATAATACAATACATGCACCCCATAGTAAGGAATTACTAAACCAATTCCTAAAGCACTATCCAACGCAATGTCTGGTGAAGAGGAAAATTCATTTGGGTCCTCTCACGAATACATTCCAGAAAATGACAAATCACTCCACCTCATCCAACAAAAGAAACTTGACGATTTAATGTGAAACCTGAAATTTTCCCAAAAAAATAGGCCAAACTCCTATGGTCCCGGTTACAGCAGTAGAATTTGCTTACATCTGGCACATTTCAGCATATAGGGATCGCAGCAGGGTTCTGGAACCATTCTTTGCAATGGAAAATTTAATGTTACCGTGTAAATATATCTTAGAACCCTCATGAATTTGCATTCAGCTACAACATGAACGGCATGTTTTATGCATATTTGTCAAAATTCAATTTTAAGCTGCACTCCTACGTAAAGGAAATAAGTGGCCTTCAATTCCTCTAGCACTTGCTGCAAGAGTGAAGGAAACGTGATACTCATACAATGGCCACACTTCACTCAACAAAGACATTATATGTGTTCAGTGATATTAAAATTACACTATTTGGCCTGCAAGAAAGTTACACAAAACATTGTTGCTTTTTCTGTCTGCGAGACAGCCGCAACACCGTAAATCAGGCATCCCAAACTTTTCAAGAAGGGAACTACATTACTAATTCTGACAATAGCGGACCGGAGCGATTTAATATTGCATATGTAAATTTAAAAATAATAATTATAGAATGTTATTTAAAAAAAGTAAGAAAAAACACTGAACACAAATAAAATACATTGCAAATATCATTTATTTTCGGAATCAGTTAGGTAATCATCCAAGTTTTGGTGTGCCAAAATTAGTAAGGAACAACTTGTTTCATCCAGGATACAGATGAAAAAGTTGAAATTTATTCCCTTGTGTAGTCTGAGGAAACTTAAAATGTTTATAGCAGATACGTCAATACAGGCATTTTATAATAATTGATTTTAAACTAACTCCAAGATAATTTTTTATTGATTTACATAAATTACAAAGAAAGTATTTTAAATAAATATAATTCATTCAAAATCTTTTATAAATATTCTAAAAAATTTCCTAGAAAATTTATAAAAGACGTTTACTTATGAGTTGATCAAATATTTGAGGTTAATATGAAAAAAAATGAAATAAAAATGTATATACAGACTAGGATGAATGAATTATTTTCGTTATTGATACCATATTAAATGTAAAGAAGCTGTAATAAATTACATGCTTCAAAGAACTTTAGAGAAATATCATCAAAGCTGAAAATTGATTTTTTTTTTGTTTCTTATTTCACAGGTACTTTTGTTATGAACTGTTTAATTAATAAAGTCTGTTCTCTAAACATTTTTTTAGTTTTTATATAAATTTCAATATATGATTAACAATTCTTTTTGGACATTTTTACACTAATCAAAGGATACCTTCCAATCTACATACGAAAATACGAACATATAATTATTTTTCTTTAAAGAAAAGTTTGGTTTGGGTTTATTCGTTTAAGGCAACGCGACACATGGGCGATCTGTCGAGGATGGAATGCCACCCGTGAGGACTTTTATGTCCCTATTTAGGCGTTACAAACGTGAAGAAAACCCAGAAAACTCCACGTGAACAGCCAGTTTGGCAAGCGCAAACTTACCACCAAGCAGTGTTCAGTGGTTTTATCCATGATAAAGATTTCTAAAACAGCCATGATGGATATGGATTCAAATATAATTTAGATGCATCTGATTTTTTAAAGTTGTTAGTTTTATTGGTCATAATTCTCTTTTAACCTCTATATTAGAAGGGGGTCATCTAGAAAAGAGAAGACAGAGTAGAAACCTTCATCAATATAATTCGAATATGAATCTGAGATCTTCCAAATGATCGGAAGTCAAACTATAGACTTCAATTTTTCCTTTTCTAGGATTTTATGATGATAAAATGTTTTATATTATAATGAAAAATCAGTATACAGTCAAACCTCCATGCAGCACCTCCATTTGTTTGTCTCTGAAGCTTGCAAAGAATCAGATATGACACCAAATTGAGGTACTATACTTTTAATAACAAGAATTATTTATAGTAGGAAGTTAAATACAAGTTTGATATTGAGAGTGTAAAATTTGTCAAATTTTAAAATCATTTCTTATTTGATGATTTTACTGTTTTTTTATGCAGCAAAATTGCTGGCTCAATTGCTGTTTTTTTATGCAGCAAAATTGCTGGCTAGAGGAACCATTCAAATATGCAAAAACTAGAGCCAGCAATTTTGCTGGCTCTAGTTTTTGCATATTTGAGTGGTTTAATGTACGCGGATATGAAACAGGAGGATTTGACTATCAAATCCTCCTGTTCTAAGAGAGCATAACAGATTGTTTGGCACCGACATGCTCTCTTCCTCCAGCTTATGCCTCCAGCCATTTATAGGAGGCTTCATCTTGAACAATTGCTTCAATGTAAAGCTTACACTACCGTACCATTCATCGAGTATTGAGGTTATAATTTTAGACCTTATAAGTTAAATGCATCGTGTTTATTGAATGCTCAAGTGAAGCAATGAATAAAATTGTTATAGAATATTATACGACTTTAATGTTTTATCTGTATTTATCGCCTTTTCCTTATATCTCAACTATAAAGATTTACAATATAATTGACGTCTGATAGACCTGTAAATTTTGTGAACCCCTCAGTATCGGAATTATAAATCAAATAACCCTACTCGTTCCCCTTCTATCTGGTCTTATCTTCTACCTTCGCAGTATTTGTTGCAAAGAATATTCTTTAAAATAAATAGAATAAATTAAGAAATTGCTGACATTTTGCCATTAATAGAGATGCTATTTTTAACTAGAAAATTAAATAATAATTTTAATAAATATAAATAATTTAAAAAAAGTAATAATAATAATAAAGACTTCTTCATTTTCTTTATTGCATCAAGTTATTTGCATAAATATATTTAAAATGAAAAAAATATATATTTTTTAAAATTATTTTTCATTTTATGAAATAAATATTGATCAAGAAACATATTTTATTTCTTCTAAATTTATATATTTTAAATATAAGGATGAGTATATTTAAACTAAACTCCTTAGAAAAAAAAAAACATTGACAAATTTCTTTAGAAGAGTTCAATTACCGTAGACTAAATTTAAATGATTTATCTCTTCCGAGAGGAAGACTGTGAAGTGAGATTTGATTCACATCAAACAGTCTACTGTCTAAACCACAAGAAAAAAAGAAAAAAAAGTTTGTTTTTTTATTTTCACCATTAACAATAGAGTTTTAAAGAGGTTGACGACCCTTAAAATACATTTTAAGTACCGCATCGATAATCGGTTTGGCATCACTTTTCCAATCAGAATATGGTCAGGGTTGTTATTTGACATCAGTGTTGACGTTGGGAGTAGATTTCGTCGTACAGACTAATGCCAAAATAGCTATTTTTAGTATCGGTGTGTCACCTACCCTACCTCAGATGCGTTGTATTCCAGCTGAAAAGCTTAACTTTCTTTTATTAAACACATCATCCCTCAGACAAAATGGGAAACCAACAGATGACCTATTCGACAAATGTAAGTCTATTATTTAATAATTAAATGTAGTTACGTTTCGTTTTTTTAATGTAATAACGTTACGCAATATACGTAACTTCTTAGCCCCGTGATGGAAGTTACGCAGATACTCGTATGTTGTACGAAAGTGGTAATTACGGAAGTAATCATCCCCAAGATGATTCCAATACGATAGTACGTAACATTGTAGAAGAAATAATAGATTCTGCTTGTGAAAGGTAAGCTCTGACAGCTGTTAAAGAGATATTTTTTTTTTCTTTTAAGTGATTTTTATATTATCTCTCTTTTCAGGAGTGATCCTATCTCGGATGGAGCAAAACTAGCTCCGGATGGGGACCAAGTACCTTTTGTGAGTACGTTAGGTACACCTATTTATAAACTATTGTTTAAAAGTTAATA